GATGGGAGTGAGACATTTCATTATTATTAATAGCTTTCTTATTGTGATGTGTCATTATATTGGAGGTAAAATGTTCTTGACTTATAGCTTTCTAGTAGGCTATAGTTATTCATGATTTTGAGACACTTTGTAGGCTATTGTGTAATATATTTGTATGTTTTTTTTTACATTTTGAAGAACTTTGCTGAAAGACATGCTGCTGTCTGATCGAGTCAGTCCTGCTCGGGCGGATAAAAAGTGGGAGAACTTGAAGAAAACGTACAAGGTTTGTATTTGTTGTATTTAACTGTAGCCCTGGATAATTAAAGTTTAGATTAAAAATGGCACTTCATGTTCTCCTTTAGTATCTTCCTATGTTGTATTCGGAATCTGAAATTGACTTTAACATGTATAATTGTGCATAGCTAATAGTTGATATGTATGTGATTGTGTGCAGGAGCTCACAGGGAGTGGCACTGAATCAGGGGAGGCCACTGCTGGGACATGGAAGTGGTTCTCCCTCATGGATGAGGCAATAGGTGGGAGGCCATCCATAAGGCCTCCATGCCTCATTGCCTCAGCATGGGGAGAGAACTCTTCCATGTCCCAGCCAGAATCCCCTGATTCAGTGCCATCTGACACTGAGAGAGAGCCAGGGAGAGGGTCAGAGGAGGCAGAGATGTGGTGGTGGTGACAACATCCTTAACTTTTTGGAGAGGGCAGAAGAAAGGGCGGAAGAGAGAGTTAGAGAGATGAGGCCAGGGAGGAAAGGTTGTTGAGTTTGATGGAAAAGATTATAGAAAAAATGTGATACAATTAAAATCTGCACATTAAAATAAATGTTTTATGAATCAGTTTTTACCATCAACATCACAACATTGAAACTTGAAAGAACTGATTTTAAAGTAACTGATACAACATCTCGGCTAATTTTTAAGAAAGAAGGAAGAAGATTTTATAAATAACTGATAACTACTAATAACTACATATTTACAACTATTAACACTTATATGAATATTGAACTATTTACATGAATTCAAGTCTTAACAAAAATATTGCTGTATTTTTTTCTTAATTGTAGTCATGATCATCCAGAGCTGGCGGATTTTCAATCGGGGCTGAAAGAGCAGCAGCCATGCGTCCACGCAGCTGCTCCCCACACTGCGAGTCAGGCTGAAGCTGGCCGTCTCCATCATCCGGCCTCAGTGCCTCTTCAACTGGCTCAATTGTGTCGCCATCCCTGAGGCAGAAATTGTGGAGGATGGCACAACAAGCCACCACCTCCACAGAGAACACAGGGCTCACTTCTAGGGCCTTGAAAAAGACGGAGCGCCATCTAGCCTTCATAATACCAAAGGCCCGCTCGATAACTGTCATGATTTGGTTTTGAATTTGAGTTTCCCTGTTTTACCCCAGTGTTGCTTGTTTCCCTTGTGTGTTAATGTTTCCTAGTGTTGATGGTTTCCTAGTTTTGTCTTCAGTGTTTTCTGTTTTATTTTGTCATTTATTATCCTCGTGTTCTAGTGTGTTTTGTTAGACTCTTGAGTTCTGTGTGTCTTTAGTGTTTCATGATTTATTTTGTATTGTCCTCAGTGTTTCTCCCTGCCTTGATTGTCTTCACCTGTGTTATTAGACTCACCTGTGTTTGATTACCCCATGTCTATTTAGTCTCTGTGTTTCTTCCCTTCTGTGTCAGTTCATTGTTGTTTGTATGTCAGTTATCAGTGTCAGTAGATGTCTGTTTTCCTCGTGCTCTAGTGTTACTTGTGGTTTCCTCGTGGCTAGTTTTCTACTGTAGTAAGTTGTGTGTTTGTCTTTGGCCTTTTTGTTTAAATAAATATTTTTTGTTAAATCTGCTCTGGGTCCTCCTTTTAGTTTTTCTCGAACCCTGACAATAACTGAACGGGCCTTTGAATGGTGCCTGTTAAATCGAGCTGCCACTGCACCTCTCACAGGCTCCCTGTATGGTGTTATTAGGGTGACTGGCCGTGACACACAGGGATATCACCCAAAATACAGTAGCCTTCAGGTGGGAACAGGCTCTGTACAAAGAGTGGGCTATTTTTTAAAACCTGAGTCATGTACTGACCCTGGATACCCAATAAATATGTCTAAAAATTGACACTGGTGGTCACACACAGCCTGCATCTGCACTGAGTAAAACAATTGTCTGTTAAAATAGCACTGAGCGTCATCACTTGGAGGCTTAATTCTTATGTGGCAGCCATCGATGCTGCCAACAACACGACTGAAAGCCACGGATCCTGCCAGGTTTTCAAAGCCTGCACCAATTCTTGCAAGGTCATCTTGGGGTGGCAAGTAGATGACCCTGTTCTTTAGCCCGATTACTTTCTTTGATACCCTGTGTACAATGTCATGTACAGTTGAGCGTGGAATGTCAAAGGCTCAAGAAACCACGCAGTAAGACGTGGCGCTTACCAACCAAAACAAAAAAACAAGAATCTCCAGATCGAATCCCCAGCCGTGGTCAGATGGTGAGCACAGGATGTCGATAAGGTGGAGTATGGTGGGTCTGGAGAGGCGGAAGTCAGGACGGAGGTCACTTTGGCCATCAAAATACATGGCCAGATGTGGAACATGGCGGTTCACTCTGCAGTACTGAGATTGATGTCTGAACTGTAAATAAAGATATTGATTCTCATGATATGATGTTTTTAAATGTAATGTGATCAAAAGGTATGTCAAAATGACTCAGTAGAAGATTTATGTGGCTACAATACTGTGACATGTCTAAGTGTCCCCAGGAGGGGGTGTAGTCTGACACTACAACTTTACATACTGTAGTTCCACATTATCTAATATAAATGCAAAGGACTAATATCATCTTTTAACTTACAGTTTGGCTACGTCTTGCTAGTATAGCAACGGCGGCACGTCTCAGTCCTCTCTGTCTTTCTCTAGTTATTCTGATTCTTCTTCGAATAAAATAAGTTGAATAAGAGTCAAAAGAAAAACAGAAATATTGATATTAGGTGGCATCTTTCAGAGTCAATCTGTAGCTTTATAAAGGCTGTTAAGTGATAAAGGTTTTCACAGTTTTGAAACGGAGTAACGGTAAAGATAAAGTCAGGCACGAGACACTCCAATAAGTTGTGGCGCGAATATATGGTTGGTATTTATTTATTGAAAATAACGTGTAATACATTTATTTATTATATTTGATTAATGTGGAAAAATATGCTAAGTAATATTAGTTATCACTGAAATCCATGCTGTTTACAGTGTTGATGACTGTAAATCCCCAGCCGTCCATGAGCGACGTCTTAGTTGTGCGACAGTGATTACGTCACTGTCAGCGGCCGGCGAGTGAGCGAGTAGTGTCCAAAATGTTTTTTTTATTTAGCTGAGTGAGTGCATTATATAGTCCACTACATCTAATTCACTATATAGTGAGTAGGGAATGAGTGAGTGATTTCAGACACAGCCCTGGTTCCTGGTAAGGAGGGCCCAGCAGCTCTTCCTTTTTTTACAGACCACTGCAGGACAACAGACTGCCTCAAACACTTTAAACTTCTATACACACAATATATCTGATATCAAAGTAATAAAGGATCTATCTTTGTAAATCATCTGACACAATAAATAAAATAATAAAGCTGTGACCTTTGATTCCCTGTTGCTATGGTGATTATTAGACTTTGGTATTTCCTGGTGACTTGACTTTGATTTAGTCCTGTTGTGACGCAGATCTGTTCTCCGTGTTCAAGGTAAGAGACACTTTTTTAAATGTTTGAAAGACTCTCATTTAATTTGAGTGTAAAAGAGCTGTAAGCTAACAGTTAGCCACCGGGATCATTAGCTGCTCTGACTACAGTAGAAGTGAAGGAAACACAATGATCAGTGACTCAGTCACGATGCAGGCTATGCTAACCATGCTAACTGTGCTAACACAATTGAAGACGAGCCCGCTCTGGAAAATTCAGAGTTTCTTTCATTGAGATAATCACTTTATCTTCTGTGATTTAAATATTCTAATTAAAACTCATCAGTGTGAGTGTTGTTCTCAACATCATTTTTCTTCATGATGTTTGTTTACCGTGAAACTCGTTCTGAATTAATTCATAAGAAGAAGTTTTAATAACTCTCTCAAACAGCTTAAATAATAATAATAATAATAATAATAATAATAATAATAATAATAATAATAATAATAATGCATTTTATTTTTGGGCACCTTTCATGTCACTCGAGGTCACCTTACAGACAAAGCAATGAAACAGTGAATAAAATAAATATTTGACTTCAACTTTCCAGCAGGCTGGTGTTCCTGCTTTGTACAGTATACTTGTATATTATATGATAAAAATAATTTCAGTGACATTAAAATTCATGGAATAAAGGGAAAATATTTTTGTTGTTTAATTGTTATGAACTGTAAAGTCATACTTGGTTAATAAATGACTTGTTGGGCGTGTTCAACGTTTTTTAATCCATTTTATGATTCAAAGTCCTGCAGTAAAGCCTCCTCTGATAAGATAAAACTTTATTGATGCTGGAGCATAAATTCAAACGTTTCAGCAAAACAAGGAGAGAAAAAAGTTTAATTAAAACATTAGAATTCATCAAATAAGGAGAATGAGATGATTACAGAAATTAAAAGAGTGATTCATGTCCTAGTTACAGACTGTGCAGTGAATACACACAGAACCTAGAACTAGTTTAGTACTTCAGCTGGATAAGCAGTCGAACAAGTACAGAACATCTGACAGTAATATACCATCTCCTATAAGAGAGAACAGAAGATTAGATCATGTTAGCAGGTGAACCAGGTAGATGTGATGTTTGTAGACTGACAGTGAGGTGATGATGATGAAGGTGAATCAGCAGCTTCATCTGTTTGTTTCCTCCACAGCTCTAAGATCTTTGACTGGATGTGACTTCAGCAGCTGAACTCCATCAGTGTTGTTGTTGTGACAGAGTGCAGCTCTTCCAGCAGGGGGCGCTCTGCTATGGATCAGTGTGAGGACACAGAGGAGGGGGTCCCTCCCTCTAAAACCTCTCTGTGTGAGGAACATGAAGCTCTGAGGTGAGATGAGGATCTCACTTCACTCCATCATCATCACTGTCTCATCTGCTGCTCACAGAAACTAATAATGTTTGTTTGTATCAGGATGAAGAGACAGAGACCAGACTCTCCTGGACCCAGCTGTGTGTCCATGAAGAGTGATAACTCTAAAGATCTTATTATTGAGTTTAAAGATGGACGTCCTGCTGATGGAAGGTGAGATGTGAAAGTGAAGTTAATGTTCTGACTCTGTTGTTTAAAGACTCATATCTTGTCTCAGAGCTTCATGATGTGTTGTAGGACTCATCAGTTTATTGTTTCAGCAGTGACATCACAGTGTTCACCAGTCAAAGAGTTGAGTGATCAGACTCATCATGATAAACCATATCACTGAGTTTGTGTTTCTTTAAATAGAAATCCAGTTTACAGAGTAGCAGCTGATTTCAAAGATGGAGCTTGATGAGCAGAGGTCATATTTTTTCTAATTATCCCTCGGATCATTACAACAGAAAATAAAAGAATAGATCTTTAATGTCATTGCTATAAAAACAGTGAAAGGCAGTTTAGCAGCTCTTTGTCAGAGGCAGCACAGACAAAGAGCTCTGTTCTGCTTTTCTACAACTCTTTCATCCTCAGACATTTACATCACTCTCACTTCCTGTCTTCAGTCCATGTTCACCTCTCGCAAAAAAACCCTACTGCAAAGAAGTTAAATATTCTTAGATAAAGTCAAATTGTCTTGATTCAAGAAAAATAAACCTGCCAAAATAATTAGTTAGATTTATTTGTCTATTTTAAAAGTCGAGCCACTAAAAGATGATTCTACATCTTAATACATTTTATTTAAAGTTTTACAAAGTAGAGATAAAAACAACAAAGTAACAATACATCGATAAAATCAACATTAAAAAGCATTTACAGGATGTAGAGGATTTATGAGACTGGAAGGGGAATGATCAGACTGAATATGTCAGTTTAAAAAGATGTGTTTAGAGATGAGATTTAAAAATGGAGAGAGTGTCAATACTACGGCTGTGTGGTGGGAGGGAGTTCCAGAGGCGGGGGAGGGGCAGAGCAGCTGAAGGCTCTGGACCCCCTGGTGGACAGGCGGGTGGTGCAGTGAGGTGAATAGAAGAAGAAGACCTGAGAGTGCGGGTGGGTGTGTTGATGTGCAGGAGTTCAGAGAGGTACAGAGGAGCGAGGTTCTTTATCACTGAAATATTTCTGAAGAATACAAGTAATGAATAAACTAATCTGTTCTTAACAAATGACCAAGCTAGACAATTATGCATCGTAACAACATTCATTCTGTATTCACAACGGAGCGCTACACTAGCTGCTCTGTTTTGAACCAATTAGACCATACTGCTGGGCAATAGTCAAGATTGGACAATATTAAAGCCTGGATTACCTGTTTAGTTAAGTTTTGTGTTCAAAATCTGGCACATCTTTTAATAACAATAATAATAATACCAGCTGTTTGTTTGTATCAGGATGAAGAGACAGAGACCAGACTTTCCTGGACCCAGCTGTGTGTCCATGAAGAGTGACCGGTCTAAAGGTTTATATATTGAATTTAAAGATGGACGTCCTGCTGATGGAAGGTGAGATCTTAAAATGAAGTTAACGTTCTGACTCTGTTGTTTAAAGACTCATATCTTGGTTCAGAGCTTCATAATATATGACACGTTGTTTTCTTGTGTCACAGAGTTCAACAGGAGAGCTCTGAGGTTCACAGAGATCAATCAGACCAGCAGAATCTAACAGACCTGGACTCCATCTTTATGGTCTGTTCAACACACTGTTATATAATTTACTACCATTACAATAATTTAATGCTAAGTTATTGTTCTGTTTAGACCAGCTGACCTTCAGACAGATGAACTACATGTTGAGTTCTACCAGTTTATATTAAATATCCAGTGTCTCCTTCTGTTCCAGCTGCTGGAGGAGAACATCATCACCTTTGTGAAGAACGAGCTGAAGAGAGTCCAGAGAGTTCTGAGTCCAGATTACCCAGAATGCTTAGAGAATCAGAGTGAGGATGAAGAGCAGGGGAGAAGCTGTAAAGAGGATTTTTTGAAGATCACTCTCCACTTCCTGAGGAGAATGAAGCAGGAGGAGCTGGCTGACTGTCTGCAGAGCAGTAAGAACATTTTAACAGATTTAGCATTTTAGAAAAAGGACAAAACGGTTTAAAGTTCCAAACTCAGATAGTCATGTGATCTATATCAGGATCTGTTCATTGATTTCAGTTCTTTCTTTATTCAGGAACGTTTGGTGCAGTGCAATGTAAACTGAAATCTAACCTGAAGGAGAAGTTCCAGTGTGTGTTTGAGGGGATTGCTAAAGCAGGAAACCCAACCCTTCTGAACCAGATCTACACAGAGCTCTACATCACAGAGGGAGGGACTGGAGAGGTCAATGATGAACACGAGGTCAGACAGATTGAAACAGCATCCAGGAAACCAGACAGACCAGAAACAACCATCAGACAAGAAGACATCTTTAAAGCCTCACCTGGAAGAGATGAACCAATCAGAACAGTGATGACAAAGGGAGTGGCTGGCATCGGGAAAACAGTCTTAACACAGAAGTTCACTCTGGACTGGGCTGAAGACAAAGCCAACCAGGACATACAGTTCACATTTCCATTCACTTTCAGAGAGCTGAATGTGCTGAAAGAGAAAAAGTTCAGCTTGGTGGAACTTGTTCATCACTTCTTTCCTGAAACCAAAGAAGCAGGAATCTGCAGGTTTGAAGAGTTCCAGGTTGTGTTCATCTTTGACGGTCTGGATGAGTGTCGACTTCCTCTGGACTTTAAAAACAACCAGACCCTGACTGATGTCACAGAGTCCAGAGAGTCAGTGGATGTGCTGCTGACAAACCTCATCAGGGGGAAACTGCTTCCCTTTGCTCACCTCTGGATAACCACACGACCTGCAGCAGCCAATCAGATCCCTCCTGAGTGTGTTGACATGGTGACAGAGGTCAGAGGGTTCACTGACCCACAGAAGGAGGAGTACTTCAGGAAGAGATTCAGAGATAAGGAGCAGGCCAACAGAATCATCTCCCACATCAAGACATCCAGAAGCCTCCACATCATGTGCCACATCCCAGTCTTCTGCTGGATCACTGCTACAGTTCTGGAGGATGTGCTGAAGACCAGAGAGGGAGGAGAGCTGCCCAAGACCCTGACTGAGATGTACATCCACTTCCTGGTGGTCCACACTGGAGTCCAGAGAGCAGGAAGATGATTGAGTCTCTGGGAAAACTGGCTTTTGAGCAGCTGCAGAAAGGAAACCTGATCTTCTATGACTCAGACCTGACAGAGTGTGGCATCGATATCAGAGCAGCCTCAGTGTGCTCAGGAGTGTTCACACAGATCTTTAAAGAGGAGAGAGGACTGTACCAGGACAAGGTGTTCTGCTTCATCCATCTGAGTGTTCAGGAGTTTCTGGCTGCTCTTCATGTCCATCTGACCTTCATCAACTCTGGAGTCAATCTGATGTCAGAAGAACAAACAACATCCAGGTCTGAAGTATCAAGAGAAAAACCTGACCCAAGACTTTTATATCAGAGTGCTGTGGACCAGGCCTTACAGAGTCCAAATGGACACCTGGACTTGTTCCTCCGCTTTCTCCTCGGTCTTTCTCTAGAGACCAATCAGAATCAGCTACGAGGTTTGTTGACACCCACAGGAAGTGGCTCACAGACCAATCAGAAAACAGTCCATTACATCAAGAAGAAGATCAGTGAGGATCTGTCTGCAGAGAAAAGCATCAATCTGTTCCACTGTCTGAATGAACTGAATGATCGTTCTCTAGTGGAGGAGATCCAACAGTCCCTGAGATCAGGACGTCTCTCCACAGATAAACTGTCTCCTGCTCAGTGGTCAGCTCTGGTCTTCATCTTACTGTCATCAGAAAAAGATCTGGACGTGTTTGACCTGAAGAAATACTCTGCTTCAGAGGAGGCTCTTCTGAGGCTGCTGCCTGTGATCAAAGCTTCAAACAAAGCTCTGTATGTGTCCACATAACTATCCAGGTTTAATGTAGTTCTCTTTATTCAGAAATAACAACTATTGTTTCTAATTGCTTTCATTTGTGTTCTTCTGAATCTTCTTCAGGTTGAGTGTCTGTAACCTCTCAGAGAGAAGCTGTGAAGCTCTGTCCTCAGTCCTCAGCTCCCAGTCCTCTAGTCTGAGAGAGCTGGACCTGAGCAACAACAACCTGCAGGATTCGGGAGTGAAGCTGCTGTCCTCTGGATTAAAGAGTCCTCTCTGTAGACTGGACACTCTCAGGTTAGTGTGCAGCTGATCCAGATTATTCCTCTAAGATCATTTTCTTGATGAATCATTTATTAAATGTTCCTTTAATGAGTGGTTTAAAGTTTTAGTTACGCTTAGTTTAGTAAAGCTCTTAGCTCGTTGTGTGTGTGTGTGTGTGTGTGTGTGTGTGTGTGTGTGTGTGTGTGTGTGTGTGTGTGGATGGTGTGTGTGTGTGTAGTCTGTCAGGTTGTCTGATCACAGAAGAAGGTTGTGCGTCTCTGGCCTCAGCTCTAAGCTCCTCCCACCTGAGAGAGCTGGACCTGAGCTACAATCATCTAGGAGAACGAGGAGAGAAGCTGCTGGCTGCTGGACTGGAGGATCCACACTGCAGACTGGAGACACTGAGGTACAGACAGACTAGAGGTCGCGTTAACCGAATATTCTCCGTCTTTGACGGAATTTTTTTAACAATGATTAAAAAAAATCTGAAGGTTTTGACTGATTAGAATCACTGGGTGTCCACCACTCCTTTCTAATTCTCACACAACTCTGTCATTAACCACATGTAAAGCACCTGCAGTACACCTCCCAGTCCAGTTGGTGGCGAGTGTGCATAATTAATTAGTTATTGTCTTGTCCTGTAGGCTGACCTCACTTGCATGACTTCGTTGTCTATGGTTGTTTTCATAGCATGGTTAAGCTATCTGCATGATGGTCACAAACTGTTGAAACAACAGTGTACTGAGTTCTTTGAAAAAGTGATTTTGCTGGTGATGATGGTAAACGTGGTGAAAAAAGAGGGACTGATGCGGTGGAGGAGGCTAAAGAATAAGCACCTACAACTGATGAAGATAATCAGCAGGTAGCAGCTAAAGCTACGGGACAAGCAAGTTGCAGCAATGTGGGAGCAAGGAGGGATTACCGTGTTCAATGGGAGCAAGAATTCCCGTGGCTTCAGAGCAAAGATGACAAAATGTTCTGTGACGTCTGCAGAAAAACTAACATGAGTAACAGATTTACCAGACGGTGCAAAACTTTGAAGAAATCTGCACTGAATGATCACAAAACCAGCCGAAGCCACATTATGGCTTCCAGGGTGGTTAGCCAGAGTGCTGCAATTGAAAAGCATGTTGCACACCAAATGTGTCAGAATGACAGTCCCTACCTCGTAAATATTCACTGTGGTGCACACCGAACTGCACTGGCTGCCCGCGATGCCTCCAGGGTAGTGCGTTAAATCAGTACTTTACCGTAAAATCCAGAATATAAGTCAGACCGGTATATAAGACGCACCCTGTTTTTAAGGTCTCTTTGAGAGAAATAAAAACTTTAAACTGTTTTCCTGCGTGACGACTTATATTGTGTTCAGCGATTTCTACAACGTGCATTTTCTGTACAGCTGTGTCGCTCTTAAAGTCCCGTCTTTTTCACCTTCGGGAGTTTGCGCTCCTACTAGCTACAGTACGGTAGTTGAGCTCTCAGCCTGCAGGGAAAGTTGTGAGGCAGAGGCACAGACTCCTAGCTTGCAAGTCGCGCTGCCCAACTCCTCTGGTCACTCTTTAACTTTAATATAGGACTCTTTCAATCAAAAGAGAACTCCACAAGGTCTATTTACTGGAACAATATACCACTGTTTATGTAAATGCATGATTATGACCTTGTGAGGAAGAAAAGATGTGAAAAAAAGTCACGCAGCCACGCTGGTCTGTGTCGCCGTCTTTTCCAGCACAGCGTGCAACCAGCTTTCAATACACAATGAATGGGGAAGGGTTTTTGATCGCACCAGGTCGCAGTAGTGGCAGCTGCACCTGCGGTAATGACGGCGCGTGTTTCAGTATTTTATACTGGTGTGTAAGACGCAGCCAACTTTTAAGACGAAAAAATAGGTATTAAAAGTGCGTCTTATACACCGGATTTTACGGTATGTGACCACTATCAATAACATCTCCACCTACTACAAGAATTCTCCCATCCAAACACACAGACTATACAAACTCCAAAATGAAATGGAGGAAAATTATCTGCTGAGCCTAAAGCAACCATCGGCAATTTGCAGGTTGTCCCTGGAGAGGGCAGTTAAGGTGCTGGAGTTGGAGGAGGAGGAAGCTACAAAAAACTGCCCGGTAGAGAAAGGTTTAAGAAAATGACGTACACGTTCCCTGCATTGACCCACTTGCCAACGATGTCTTGGCTGTGGTGAACCGCATGAACCTCACTTTCCAAAAGGAAGATATGAACATTTCCTCTATCCAACCTGTCCTCAACATGACCCTTGCTAATCTAAAAGACTTGATGAATGAGCCAGGTAAGCAGTGTTAGAATGTAAGCACATAAGCTAGTACTTCAGTACAAATTTAAGGCATCCAGTCACACTTGATTTGTTCTTTATTCTTCATATACCCCTCAGAGAATAATATTATATTTTTACAACATTAAAACTGTCTGACAGCTTTATAGTCTAACTTTTTAAATTTACAG